TAAATATTCTAGCACCGTATGCTTTCAAGCAGTGACGGGAGTGAAGATCAACTTGGACAAGTCTATGATGTTCACTGTTGGCGATGTTCCCGAACCCAGTTTCTTTGGTACAATCTTTGGGTGTAAGTGGAACCAGCCTCTCTTTCGGAACACGACTTACTCTTAATAGTGCAGTCCTTAACAATCTTTCCAGTTTATCAGTTTTATTTGCTTAAAGCGCCTAAGACCGTTTTGAACAATATGGAAAATATCTAGCGTAGGTTCCTTTGGTGCGGGGTGAATGGTCTTAACAAGAGGCACCTGATCTGTTGGGACTTATGTAAGGCCTCTTAGCAGAAGGATAGTTTGAGAATCATTGACCTTGAGAGCTTTAAAATTCTCTTCTGGGAAAATGGTCTTGGAAATATGCTTCGGAAAAAAACAATTGGTGGAGGCAGCTCCTGAACATAAAGTATCCTAATTCGATCTCGGAGTGGAAAGCTAGGAAGTTGGAGGAACGGTTCAACAGTTCTTTTTGGGCAAATATTTGGAAGGTCGGTGAGTTGTTCTGGAAGGCTGCGAGTATCGATCCTGGCCCGGGTACCGCGATCTCACTTTGGCACGATAACTGGATCCCTGGGAAGTCCCTGCGGAATCTTTCCCGCGTCCTGTGCTGCTGCATCTTTCCCCAGTGCTACCATTCTCGACTCTGTGTCCTTCTCATGTGAGTCGATTATGTGGGAAATTCAATTTTCTAAATCTTTACGGGGTGGGGCGGAGATCGAGAGAAACACTTTCTTTGAAGTGATTAATTCTAATTCCTTTGGAATTAATAATAGTCCTTGCCGGATGTTGTAGAATCCCTACACAGATGGGTTGTTTTCAGTTAGTTCTTTTTACAGGCCGCAGGTTGAGGAGCGGTTCCCTGAGGTGGATGATTTTCATTCTGCTTGTGTCTGGAAGAGCATTATTCCCACGAAAATCTGTGGTTTCATATTGCTCGTTTGGCATAAAAGAGTTCTCACTACGGGAAAAATGGTTTTTGGCAACACGTGAAAAGTGTTGTGAAAAGTACTGAAAATGTTGCATATATTATATGCGACACTTTTGTCAGTGTTCTCTATAGGGGGTGTTGTATAAAATAATAGTTAACACTTTTTTGACTTTATGCAACAAAAAAATATGTGTTACATATGTATACCCTATATGCAACACTACTTTAGACAACACTACAAAAAATTTACACAACACTTTTTTACATGTATAACCAACATGTATATGTTTTATTCGTAACAGGTTTTGTCGTCATATAAGACGTACTCAATTATGACAACTATCGCTTGTAACAAATACTTTACACTTGTGACGAGTTTGTGTTGTAACCTTATGTATTTCCACTGTCACTAGGTTAGGTTGTCACAAATAATTCTCTTTTTCAAATGTACTTTTGTAACAAAATAAAGTTTTTGTGACAATGCTACTATCACAAAATCAAGTTCTCGTGACACAGTTATTATTATTAAAAAATATTTGTGACAAACATTTTTGACGTTATGGCTTTAGTTTCGGTGGCATTTGTAACAAAAGTCCACTTTTTTACGAACTTTTTGTCATATGACAATATTTGTAACAATTGTACATGATATTATGAGAGTTCAATTGTGAGGAGATGCATTATCACAAATGCTTACTTTTGTGACAAAGACTAGTGCCACATGAATATCTTCTTACTGACAAATATCTTTGACACACATATATATACTAAACATAACATTAATCCAACGGTTAATAGTAAGTGTGGTACACTATTAAAAAATAAAATACAAATATCTTGATTAATCTTCTCTCGTCCTGTACTTGGAGACTATCGATTATCAACTCTTGATTTACACTCTGTCTCTCCTGCTACTCAACTGAATTGTGAGAACCTCTTCATGAAACTCTACCCACAACTCGCACCCTTCTTAACTCCTTGATTTGAATCTTCAGAAGGGGAGATCACTCAAATTAGTTGAAACCTGTGAATCACAATTATGGGAGAGCCCAGAATAAAAAATTTGCAACGAAAAGATAATTAGTTAACAAGGGCATTCAAAGATGAATGGTTGTTTCTGTGTTTCTCGTGAAATTGGAGATTTCTGTCAGATAAAAAAAACAATTCAGTAAAAGGAGAAACACCGTTGTAGAAGCAGCGTCCGGCGTGCAAGGAAGAAGATAAAATGAGTCCCGCTGACGTATGGGAAGTGGTCAGGGAAACTAGTTGCTTGTCTGTCTATTGAGCCTTCGCAGCAGCGGCAAGGATTTGGGAATTATGAAAGAAGAGGAGAAGCTGGGAAGAGACGGAGGGGAGAAGACTAATGAAGGGTTTTTTAGGTTGAAAACATAAGAAGCTTGTGATTTGATATGGAAACATGGATTACTTAGGAGAAAAATCAGGGATCGACTATTTAATTAATTTCCTTACGAAGTATTTCGGTATAAGAGATTCAATTCCCTTCCCCGCCGATAATTGGTTTCAAAATTTCCGGCCTTTTACCGTTTGAATAGTTTTAATTTATTAAAAAGAAATAGTTTTGATACTATTTTGGTATTTTCCGTGTAACAATTAGAGCATCTCCATCAATGCAATTGTAAAAGAAATTGCATTTATGTTTTTTATTGTCAACCCAAATTTCTTGCAATCCACATCACATTCATTTCATTCACCTACATCAATGAAATTAACTTGCAATTGCATATATAATTAAATATTATGTTTAAATTACAGAAAATTAAGTAAAAGAGAAAAAAAATATATAAAATACAAAATCCCCATTTTTTTAGGCTTTTTTGACTTGCATATGGAATTGCATTTGTTGCAAGCTTGCAAATATGCAATTGGTAGCCATATCAATGCAATTGGTTTTGCAATTGCAAACACCTATGCCATATCATTTTGCAATTGAGAATGCAATACCAATGTGGATGCTCTTACGAACTAACGTATTTTTTATACTTATCTTTAATCTATATTAACAGCCTTTTAATTATCAACGTAATCAAACCAATTGTTTTTTAGATCTACTTGGGGTGGAACACTTATATAACTATGATCACATAATATAAAGTTTTCTTTTTATAATACACTTTATACTTTAGTTATAGTATTTTTGTCACAAAAGATCATTTTTGTGACAGAGTTTGGTCACTTATGATACAATATTGTATCAATTGTGCATTTTACGAAATATATAGTATAAATTAGTGATGATGTGATGTTTCAACGAAATTAAGTTTAATTTTTTTTAAGAGATACTGAACCAACGATGATGAGGTCGGTCGGTGGAACAAATGGAATTAAAGTAGAAATGTTGCATTTTCCTTTCATACCGTTTGGTATAAATGAATTCTACAAATTTTTAGGAATTCATTTTGAAATGAAATTTTTTTGTGTTTGGTATTTAAAAGAATTCATTTTCAATTCTAAATTTTGAATTCTATGGAATTGGAACTAGTTATAGCAATTCCGAGGAATTGAGATGGAATTTTCAAATGAATTCCACAAGTATTTACAAATTATGATAAAAGACATAATTATTCTCATTTATTAAAAAAATTACTTCTACATATATTATTTGGTGCCAATTCATGCAGTATGAGGAAGGTCGACAAGAATTTGATTGTAATGCTAATAGCATATACCAAACACAGGAATTCATTTGACAATGAATTATGCACAGAAATTCATTTTAAAACGAAATGAATTCTAGATTCACTTGGTACCAAACAGTCTGTTTAGATTTGGTAGAAACAATATTCCCTTTTATCTTTGTTTGGTTGTACGAACGTCTTTTTATATTTACAAAGTTTCGTAACCCGTCATTATATACAAACTCTTCTTCACATTCATACTGAAAATGCTTTCTTTTTCCCCTCTTATAAGCATAATGAAATGCTAATTAGTTTTAACCCATGTATTATATAATATTAATATTAATAACAGTCAAAGTGGGTAAATTTGTGACCTTATTAATTAAGTGTTGTACAAAATGTAATAATAGGTAACAAAATTTATTTTATTGTAAAACTGTTGCATATTATTAGATATATGCAACATAAAATTTGGTAATACTAATTTGTGTTGCCTAAGATATATATTAGGCAACACATGATGGGGTGTTCCCTATATCTATTTTATATAACACTTCTTTAAAGTGTTGCTGGAAGAGTGTTGCATAAAGTCACTTTTCGCGTAACTTGCAAATCGTTGTGTCTTGTGTCTCAAAGAAGAAGAAACTATTAATCACCTCTGGGTCGATTGTAGTTATACCAGGCGCGTGTGGAGCGAAGTTTTCATCAACAACATTCCTTCGGATATGTCTTCAGGCGATATCTCTATGATCATTAACTACAATGAGCGCAGATACCTAGATGGAGTCAAAGCTTGATTCATTTTCTGCTCTGTCCATGCGATCTGCTGGCATGTTTGGAAGGAAAGAAATCAGAGGATTTTTATAGGATATTTGTTGTAATCCATTGGTGGTCGCGAGGAAGATTATCAGAGCAATCATCGAATGGATCGTGGCTCATGGAAAGATTGTAAAGGATCAAGGGACTGCTTTTATGCAATCTTGGCTTCGCAGATGTGATGCCAGTTACCGAGATCCCTCTGTTGGAGGGTTTTATCCTGTTGTGGGATCTTTGCTCTGCTTGGGGGCGCTAAAGTTTGTTCACCTTGTTTGTACTCCTTTTCTTGTTGTTCTGTTCTTTTCTTTTCTGTAACTTTCCTTCCTTTCCTTAGACTTTGTAATTGTTTTTGTACTCTGATTTTTAGCTGTTTCTCACGCCTTGTGGAAACCTGCTACTGAACCTTCCTCCTTTATTTAATTAAGTTCATCACCATTATAAAAAAAATTAATAAAAAAAGAACTTCTCTAACAAACCTAGAATGAGATGGAGCCGTGTCAAAAGTCAAAACATAAGCAAAGAGTGATCTAATATCAAGTTGGACTAGGGGATCCCTCGTTGAATTAAGTGAGCCCATCGACTTCACAACTATAACTAGCTTCAAGCCCGAGCCCATTCATCCACAGCGAAAGATTAAACGACGTCGCCTCAAAACAATCGTGAAAATTTTCGACTGGTCAGGAATCAGGATCAGGGTGGCCTCTGCTCGTAAAGAAAACAGAAATCGATCTCAACTTCTGTCCCTCCTTCTCTCCTTCCACTCCCGGGACGATGATGGATTCTCGAGTTCTTGTTGCTCTGCTTCTCGTCTCTTCCTTTCTATGCTCATCTGCCAAGGTGACACTCATTTTCCTCGTTGCACCAATTCCGTGCTTCTCATCTGATCGCTTTCTCCTCGCTGTTGCGAGATTTGATCTGATGGTTGCTTGATTCGGATTTGATTTCAGGCGGAAAGAAGCGGGACGGTTCTGTTCATCGATGGCCAGGGACACAAATACCTTCGTTCTCCATCCACCAATGGTGGCGTCCAGGTTTGTTTGGTCATATTCCTCTTTCTTAGTATGCTAGTGAATTCCACCAAATCAACTTGATTTGCGTTTGAATTAGAAACTAAATAGTATTCTTCTGCCCTATCTGATGTCCGTGATTGAATTCTGATGCCTGCATGCGGTGATGGATTGGTGTTTGGGTAGATATTTTATGTTGATGAGAGTTATTCCTTTGGGATGGTGTTTTTTATTTCATGGATGGATTCGGCCATTCGGGCTTTCTTACTTTCGTGATAACACCTTCTGCAGTCCCAGTCAATGTTGATTCCGGAAGTTGCTGATGCAGTGTCTGTTCTGCTTGGTTTCGCGCCATCCGCTACACTTTCGGCAGCTGGTTCATCAAAGGTCAAGTGTGGATTAGCACTCTTGTGATACGTTAGTTATTTAGTTACCTATTTTCTCCATCTCTTGTTCACGCATTTTGATTTGTGGTCTTGCAGTTGAATGGGGTTCTCGAGCCCAATCCATTTGATAGACCTCGTGCTGTATTCATGTTGGAAGTTACTGGAATTAAAGGTACTGAAATTCTACACACTGCTCTTAATTTTCCGTTTTTCCTGCTTTGGTATTGAAGCAAATTCTTCTACATGAAGATCTTCCTCAGGCAAGTATCTCCTCTATTGAAAAGTACAGCCATGCTTTACAGCGCAATACCGTTCTTGGTTCAGAAAAAGCTAAAATTGAACTTCCAGGTTGGTGCCCTTTCTTTGTGTACTTCAATGATATTTGAACAAGTTAGATTGTCTGTTCCTACCTCTTTGGATCATGGGAGAATGAATTCTGATGACTACATGTCGTATGGTGTTAACTTTTATAGGTGGAGAGGTCTCTGTGGTTCATTTGGATGATGGGTTAGAAGATTTCACAGAAAAGGAAATAACTGATCTTGTTAGTGCCTAATGGTTTCATCTTTTTCTTGAAACTCTTAATGTTGTCCGGTTGTGTAGACGAACGCTGTCATGATGTTCTGGAGGCATTGTTTATATGCTAGGCATCTTTCTTGGGTGGATCATATGTTACCGACGCTTCAAAAACAATGAATGGAGATATTATGGGTATAACTTTGGCTAGTGGAACCATGAATGTTCACCTGTCGAAGGTCTTAATCTTCATTATCCCTAAGCTTGAGTAATTCTCAGTTGAAGAAAGTAGTATGATAGCCTTCGTTTGTTACAGGAAGCGGACAGGAAATATGTCGGAATGCTATTGGCTCTGATGCGAAACAGCAAAAGAGCAAGACTGATGCATGAAGATCTATCGCAAGGCACCCGGAGGCCTGCAGAGCTAACAATTGGATGCTTTGATGGAATTAAGGTGTGTTTCTGATGCTGTTTTCTCTCCCCTTGAATTTTGAGAGTTTATTCATTGTTCTTGAGCTTGAATTGGAAATTAGAGAGATGCCAACGAGCTTTATGACTAGTTTTGTTTTTGGGTTACAGGCTTTGCGAGAGCAATATGGTACAGAAAGCATTGTGCAACAAGGGGAGGAGCTATTACTTAGCGTGCTGTCTATAGTTCTCGATTCCTTGCAGGCAGCATACAAAGGTCTGTAGTCTTGTTCTTGATAAATAGTAGTTCAGTAAAATGAACGTCGCAATGCTTAGATCATTGAACATCTTAATGTGATTCAACAGTCAAGAAAGTGATGGCAAGAGAAGCCTTGTTCACCTATATAATATTTGGATCCATTGAGCTCATGTGACACCATGGCCATCTCATTCATTTTAGAATCCTAGTTCAATGACTCTGTAGTGGGAAATGGGAAATTGTTACTTCTGAAGCTAGAGTTGTTGGTTGCAGAAGTCTGAACCATCATTTAACGTGCCTTTGCTATACCTGCATGATGAAATTGTCCTAAGCTGTGTCATTGTTGTAACCTGGCATGTTTTTGGCTCTGAAGCTGTATCTCAAGTTAGTGGTAACTGACAAATAGTTTTTTTTCACAGGTCAACTTGTTGCGGTAGTTTCCTTTAAGCCAGAATCACAGACCAAGTTGGACGTGGTGCTGACTGACTGGCCATCTGCTCGTATGTTGGTTGAAAGCAATGTATCACCTGTACTTAATGCCACCATTTTGGAAGTGGCCCTAGTCAGAACGACCTTGGCTTGGTTGACAGGAATCATTCTTCTCGTTTCTACTCTCATCGGGGTAAGAACAATATACGTAGGCTTGTTTCCAATTTCCGTTCAGATCTTCTTTTGATTTACGAACCTGCCTTTCTGAACTTGCATAAGGGATCACTTTTTCTCAGTGTGCCTGTGCCCCAGCAGTCATCAGCCGTACCTATAATGTTAACTGCTCATCTGTTTTGTGCTCGTGCTTTGACAGGTCTGCATGCTTTTCAATATGCCACTCACTAAGGACACCCTTCTCTACTCCAATGTCAAGCTCGACTAAGTTGGAAGGAGCAGACGCGTCTTTCAACCATTAAAAGTTGTCGTCTGTGCAGGACATAATTGGGGGACAGTTTGTTGCTGAGCAGTGGCTAGCTATGGTTTCTGTTAAACCCGTACCTTGATTGTTGATAATGTCGAATGTTATCAACAAAGCTGAAAGCTGCTGCTATATTGGATGTGCTTGACCGAGGGATTGGGTTTAATTGGAAACTTTACAGGTTGATACTAGTAGGTCATTCCTGTGTGTGGGAAGTAGGATCCTATGGCCAATTTGGAGTTCTCTGTATCTTAATAACAGACATTAGCCGTATTTGGGATTGTTGCGCGTTGTTGAATAAGTCAATATTGTTTTGAGGTGAAATGGATTTAATGTTCGTCATATTCGTGATTTTGTAGCCCTAGTTGGAAGTAGGAATTTCTCTACTGTGTATTAAAAATATTCCTCTACATTGTTCATTTGCTCCGCGTCGTTTCGGTAGAGCTGTCCATTTTGTAGCGTAACAGGCTCTCTCATCAAAAGTTGGTCGACTTTTGCACGTGATTGTTTTCGGTTCTCTGACGATGTGACTGAACGATTATTTTGTTTGTATGTTAAAAAAAGGGTAAATGACACATTTGGTCACTGAGATTATTAAATTGTGTCATGTTTAGTCACTAGAAAAAATTAATATCAATTTTGGTCACTCGAATTACCGAAACTGATCAAATTTAGTCACTCTCCCAAAAGTTTCCGTCCAACTACATTATTGTAGTTGGACGGAAACTTTTGGGAGAGTGACTAAATTTGACCAGTTTCGGTAATTCGAGTGACTAAATGTGACATTTTTCCATAATTCGAGTGACCGGAGTTAGACAGAGGCTACAGAAGAGTGACCAAATGTGACCTGTGTCAGTATTTCGAGTGACCAAAATTGATATTAAATTTTTCTAGTGACTAAATATGACACGATTTAGTAATCTCAGTGACCAAATGTGTCATTTACCCGTTAAAAAAAGGGAGTTGCTAAAGGTCGCCCTTAAAATTGCTAAAGCTCGCCCTTAAAAAGAATAAAAGTTACACTTTTAACCCCATAGCTTCTTTACCTTCCCTTCCTCAAACAAACATCACTTGGACTAAAAAAACACTCTCTAAGGAGAGAAAAATCTCTCATCGTCATTTTGAAGCCGATATCGTCGGTAGGACGTCTGAATCATGAGTAGCGACTCCGACGAGGTAAAAACATGAACCGAAAAAAAAAATCACAGAAAATGGGAACCGCGGGTGATTTGCGGTCCGGCCATGGTCCAACCGCAAGTCACTTGCGGTTGGACCATGGCCGGACCGCAAATCACCTGCGGTTAAGCCATTGGTGGACCGCAATTGACCTGCGGTTGGACCATGGCTGGACCGCAAATCACCTGCGGTTCAGCCATGGTTCAACCGCAGCTCAATTGCGGTCCACCAATGGCGCAACCGCAGGTGATTTGCGGTCCGACCATGGTCCAACCGCAAGTGACTTGCGGTTGGGCATTTTTTGGGGGTTTTTTTTCGTTGAATAATTTTCTATTTTTTATATGATTTATGATTGTTCCATGAAATAATTTGTTGGGTTTTGATTTATATAATTTATTAGATTTATTTGCATAATTATTTTTGGAATTGAAGGATTTAGCATTAGAAATTAAGATTAGATTTTTGGAATTGAAGGATTTAGCATTAGAAATTAAGATTATATTTGGCCTTAAATTAAGATTAGATTTAATTTGGTGTTAATCTAGAAAATTAAGATTAGATTTTGCATTACAAATTAAGATTAAATTTATTGCATAAATAATAGATTCGCATATGAAGTTACGATGATTATTAAATTTGATTTATATAATTTTTTAGATTTATTTGCATAATTATTTTTGGAATGGAAGGATTTAGCATTAGAAATTAAGATTAGATTTGGCCTTAAATTAAGATTAGATTTAATTTGGTGTTAATCTAGAAAATTAAGATTAGATTTTGCATTACAAATTAAGATTAAATTTATTGCATAAATAATAGATTCGCATATGAAGTTATGATGATTATTAATTTTAATACTGATAACATTGCAGGATATTGGAAGTTACAATCCGGATGGCCATGATTACACCTCGGATTTCATTGATGGCGTGAAATACACTACGGAGTTGCAAGCATATGAAGCAGCCATTGAGATTGCAAAGGGTTTTGGGTTTTATTTGGTGAGGGCATCGAACAAAAAAAATACGAATGAAGGTACTTGGCGACATTACTTACATTGCACTCATGGTAGGAAGAAGAAGTCGAAGGAACCTGATCCGAGTAAGGAAACGAGGCCTCTTACATCTACTGAAAAGTTGGGGTGCGAGTTTAAGATCAAGCTTGAGCGGTCAGGTGATGGATATTGGTTGATCCTACTCGGCCGGAGTGGGATGACCATAGTGATTACCACCGTGGTGTGTTCCAAGGTCTAGTACATGAGGTTCTTGATAGAGGCGACGAGACCATTCGAGGTGCAATCGGCCTACTCCGGAGCCATCTTCATCCTGAAAATGATGGCATTGATGAACCGCATGGGGGACAGCCCCGCCCCGGTCGCCCAAGGACGTCCACCACTCGAAACCTGTCTCACTTCGAGCATGTGGAGAGGAGACGAGGGAGGAGAAGTTCAAGACTTCCGACTGCAACTCCGGACAATGATGGAAATACAGGTAGATTAACTTTTTCTTTTAGTTGTGTTCAATTGTCCTCAATATGGTGTACAACTAATCTATTTTTTTTAAATGAGATAGGTGGTGCCCCGAATGTGAATGCACAAACCAACTTCGAGGATGAGACGGAGCCGATCCATAATGATACAGGTTAGATATTATATTCCTAATTTCGGGTAAACATATAGTGTAACTCTTTGTATTAATTTATTCTATTATGTTCTTCATCTAGATGGTGCACCGAATGGGAATGCACAAACCAACTTCGAGAATGGGACGGAGCCGGTGATCCATAATGATACAGGTTAGAAATTATATTCCTAATTTCGGGTAAACATATTGTATAACTCATTGTATTAATTTATTGTGTTATGCTCTTTGGCTAGATGGTGCCCCGTGGAGGGTTGCTCGGATTCCCAATACTAGTTGGAAGAATTACCCATGGCGACATTGTTTGGAATCCTACGTGCAACGACTAGTTCGTGGTTGGTTCAACCCTATTCCAGATGGACACTGTGGATTTTGAGCTATATCACAAGCAGCTACTGGGGACCAAAGGAATTGGCCACAAATGAGACGCGCTGTTCTAGAGGAGCTTGAATCCCGTCCTGAGCTTTATAGAGACTACTATGATGGAATAGCAAATGGAATAGAAAATGGCATTCGACGTTGCAGGTGGGCATCAACAAGTGGCTGTGGACCTTTCAACTGGATGGATAATGCGGAACTCTTCGTCTTCGCCACCTTGCATTCATGGGCCATCGTTGTATACAGTCAAGGCGGTCGTTATACCGTGCTACCTGTGACGGCCCCACCAGGAGTAACAAGACCACGTGGGATCTTATCACTACATTTTACGGGGGATCATTGGGTGCGACTTGACTTTCGACATGGTCAAGTGCCCATGCCTCCAATTAATGGCCTTTGGCCTATTTTTCATGACCCTAGTGTCAATGGGTGGGATCAATTCTTCTTACATGAGCGTGCGCTTTATGATAGATTGAACCCACGGGGATGAATTGTATAACTCTCTATTGTATAACTCTCTATTTACGAATTGTATAACTCTCTATTGTTGAAACATTTAGTAATCTACCATGTTGATTAACTATTTTAGCAATGCATTGAATGTAAATAAAGTAAAAAACGCACAACCGTCTCAATTAAACTACAAACGATGACAAATAAAACACACAATAGTCATAGTTCAACTACAAACGATGACAAATAAAACACACAATAGTCTCAGTTCAACTACAAACGATGACAAATAAAACACACAATAGTCTCAGTTCAACTACAAACGATGACAAATAAAAACACAATCGTCTACTGAGGCGGCTGCCCTACCAACTGGTCGTACAACTCGAAAACTCCAGCTACCATATCATAGAGCTTACCACCGTCCTCCTCCCACTTACTCCGGTCCCTCGTCAGCAACACGGGACCTAAACGATCCACAATCTGCTCTCTCAACTGTAAATAGAAAACAATGTTAGAATAAATAACAAATGTCCTTTATATTTGGAAAAGCAAAAGAAAGTCATAACTAACCTGATGAACTAGTTGTGGTCGAGGCTGAGGCTCCCCATCAGTGGGGTGGGTGATCCGTGGGTGCGATCTAGTCAGAAACCAGTCAACGTACTCCTCCACGATCTCCGATGGCTGCTTGCACGGCCGAGAAGCAAAATCCAAATCTAGACGACGGGCTGCCACGTTATCCCACAACTGATTCACCCATGGATCCCAAAAGACTATGTAACTGCTGCCGGAAGCCGGACGGTACTGGTCATGTGGTACCGTCATAGCACGGGGGATAATCTGTCGGTATCCAAACTGGCGCAGACAAAGTGAAGGATCGTATCCCTCAGCAATGTCAGAAAAGCGAATGGGGCCAGTATACAAGGAGCGGGGTATATCTGTGTGGCCATCTCGTCCGTACGGAGTCCAGGTCACATCATCAGCTGAAAGCTCATCCAACAACTGTCGATAACGTGCTAACCTCTGTCTAGCCTCATCCCCACCTGGCAAACAGGGAGAAATCCACGAGGAAGCACGAGGTGCATCCGGAGACTGTGGCAGCTGGCTCGGACGGAAAAGAGGAAAGTACTCATATATCCAAGCCTGAAGCAGGGTCAAACAACCACAAAGACCCTTACTACCCGCTCGTGTGGCCGCTCCCAACTGTCTGTAGAGATAGGCTAGTGCACCAGCTCCCCAAGCGTAATCAGTCAATCGTCGATGATCCTTTAGAAACAAGTTGATCGCAGGACGAAGGCGATCACGACTCTTATCCACAAAAAGCGTGGATCCCAGCAACACAAATAGGTAACACTACACCTCCATCTCCTTAATCTTCAGCTCTCCCCCACGCACCAACAATCCCTCTGCATGCATAGCACCATTATCGTACCACTTAGACTTCCACTTACCACCAACCTGAGCATCCACCGAAAGTCGAACTAGACCACCCATGTCTGACTTAAGAGTATCCTGCGACGCCTCATCTCCCATCAGCTCTCCGTCAACCGGTATCCGAAGAATGTGATGCACATCGTGTAGAAGGATCGAAATCTCTCCAAACGGCATGTGGAAGGTGTTTGTGTCCGGCTGCCACCTCTCCACAAATGCTGACAGTAGAGCCATGTCTAAATGCTGCATCATGCACCCCGTCAAGTGAGACAATCCTGTGGCTTCAACCATCTCCTTGGAACCCTTTGCACTCCACTTATATCGCCTCAAAGTCTCTACAGCTCTCGGCCTATGGAAGCCGTCCAACACTCCACGGTCCTGCTCAGGGGAATTCCACAGTACCAAGCCAATGTGACCTCCAAAGCTAGGGATCACATCGGGAATCACTGGTCCACCTGAACACATCGGAGACTCGGCTGTAAGAAACCACGACATATCTTTCCTCGTGGTCTTCCTCTTCCTATTTCCATCTCCGCCATCCTCGCTACTAGGTCTGGACGCATAGCGTCCATCGGGCCCACGGAAGTGGGAGGAGGCAGTAGAAGATACCCCGACCCGTGCCGTCTTCCCCACGCCTAAATCAGCTTGAGGTGGGGCATCCCCAGCCTCAGCATCACCAGCACCATCAACAGCATCATCAACAGCAGCATCACCAGCAGCAGCACCAGCATCTGGGGCATTCCCAACCTCAGCATCACCGTCATCATCATCATCCTCGTCAATGGAATCACTCCAATTAGCCTGCCATACCGGTGCGGTATCTGGTGTAGGAGTACTGGTAGTACCTCGACTAAGAGACAACTGCCCCACAGTAGGGTGGCCGTCAGGACGCACTACATCCACCTTCTTCTTCCTTCTAACCTTAGGTGGATTTTTTTCTTCATTTTCCTTCCTACCAGTCGTCGTAAGTCTACAAGCACGACCTTCCATTCTCTCCTTATTTCTCGCCTTAATCATATCCGGTTTACCCATTCCATGTCCAGACATCTTCAAAAAAAAGTTTGAATTATTAATAATAGAGTACATAAAGTAATTAATTTAAGATTTTCATAATTAAAATTATAAAACTAATAGTTTTAACATTTATGTTACGTTCTATGTAATAATTATTTACTTTTTAATCAAGGTCAAATTATTAATAATTAAGTAGATAAACGAATTACTTTGAAATTTTGATTATTAAAATGATAAAAACACATTTTTAATTTTTTTATAATGTTCTTTAAATTTGTTATCTTTAATTAACAATTATCAAATACGATTTTAAATTTTTTTATATCATATAACTAAATTAATATTATAACTAAATTAACATTTATCGAATACGTTATTATTAATTATCATTATAACTAAATTAGTATTTATCAATAATATAACTAAATTCTTTTATTATGTATATTTTTTTAATTTTTTTATTATTATTAACATTTATTTAACTAATAATAAAAACACAGAATTAAAAAAAATTAAAAAAATGGGCCGACCGCAGTCAAACCGCGGCTGACCGCGGTCAAAGCGCGGTTTGACCATCGGTCAACCGCCCTTTGACCGCGGTCAGCCGCTGGTCGAACCGCGCGTTGACCGCGGTTGACCATCGGTTCAGCCGCGGTTTGACTGCGGTCGGTCTCCAACACAGTACACACCTTCTTCTCCGGCGAGGATGGTGGGCGGAGAGGCGCGGCCGGCGAGGGACGGCGGCGAGGCTGGCACGGGCAAGGGCGGCGGCGAAGCTGGCGACGGGAGCAGGAGGCCTTCTTCTCCGGCCCGAGTCGACGGCGACTGGAGCAGCAGAACTTCTTCTCCGGCGCGAGTCGACGGCGACGGGAGCAGCAGAACTTCTTCTCCGTGCGTCCACAATCTCCGGCGCAGCGAGAGGAGGCAAGTCTCCGGCGGCGAGGGACGGCGGGAAGGGAGTTTGCGGGGGTGGGGGTTGTCGGCGGCGGTCAATTGCAGAGGGGGGTGGGGGTCGGCGGCGGTCAATTGCAGAGGGGTGGGGGTTGTTCGCGTGGGAAGGAGGGTGAAGGGGAAGGGTTGTTTGGCTTGTCCATTTTTTAAATTTTCATTAAGGGTATTTAGGTAATTTGACTTTTAACTTAGGGCGAGGTTTAGCAATTTTTAGGGCGACATTTAGCGATTCAGTAAAAAAAGGTCGTTCATCCAAACAAATACACGGATAGTGTTATTTGTGTGGCCTTTTTGGGCCTGGGATTACCGATAAAGCTTCTGCCACCTGTCAGAAGAGAAGTTGAAATGTTAATTTGTGTGGGCTTTTTGGGCGTGGGGTTACAGATAAAGCTTCCCGCCACCTGTCGGAATAAATAGGATGACAATTTCGACCTGATTTGTTTTATGTGACATGTTTGATCTATTTTGGGGTGAGTCCGATCCGTCCCGTAAGTGGGGTGGGCATGGATACTCTTGTTGACCCGATCTATCCTGACCCGCCCCATTCTCGATCCGTTCTTGCCTAAATTACTTGTCATCTTAGTCAAATTACTTAAAAAATTTCTTTTATTACATCATATTTTAGCTATAATAAAGTTGTAAATTAGTGAAAACCTCAATTTCTCCAATAATTTAATTATATTTATCATAATATTGCTTATTTTCTTGGTCTTATAATAAAATTAACGAATATTTCTAATATTTTTCATATAAATTGCATACACATTGGATCGACATGCCCCGACCCGCGACCCGTAATAAATTACTCGACCTAAACCGTACCTGCCATTAGGCGGGTCTGGGTACCAAGAAACCCGCCCCGAACCTGCCTATTGCTATCCTCCATTAATATATAGTAGAGTTTTGTTTAATTTTCTCTATTTCAAATTTTCTGCAACGAGAGTGAAAGTAGGAATGACATTTTTGTATTTACAATTAATTATTTATTTCATATAAAAAATATCAATATCAAGATTTGAACCCAAGTCTCTTCAAACAAAGACAACAATCATAACCAATTACACTAAATGAATTTGTTGCTTCTATTTGAATACAAAACATACACAAAGTTAAACTCTAGAACGTGAATGACTTTTACATCATGATCAACAAGCCCACTAAGTTTACCGTATGTATTTTTATGGTGCTTAATACTTTAATTTTCACAGTATAGTTTCATGTAATTTTATCCATTTTAAAATTCATGTTGTCTCCTTAATTTTCGCTAAGGTAACTTTGTAATTGGCTAACATGAAAGAAACTTTCTTTTACTACGTGTTGTGTCATTGCATTTTTCAATTTAAATTTTGTGCTTTTTTTATCTTTGTTCTTTTCTATTTCTAACTTCCTCCGAAAGTCCCTCCATCGTGTAATAGTTTGGCCCTTTCACTTCCCAGTACAAGGGCGCATTTGAAAATTAATCTTCCGGTTTCTCTTGGCATGACAGTTTTATTCTTGAGGATTTAAGCTAGGTAAGTAGAAGATTTCAAATCCAATATCAATCCATGGTGAATAGAATGGAGTCAATGAAGTAGTTATGAATTTGAACTTGGAGTAGAAGAGTTGGAATTGAGTTTGAGAATGGAAGTGGTGGGGAGAAGAAATTGTTTTTGGATTTGGTAGAAGCTAAAGTTTCACTGTAGCAGGTGAAAGGCAGAGAAGAGGGAGTTGGAGAGGGCAGTGAGCGAATTGAGGAGGGTATTGAAAGACATGGAAACGAAACTGGAGCAGTTAAAGAGAGCGAAGTGAGAGATGATGAGGATAGTAATGAAAATGGAGAGGATATTGAAGGGCATGGAAGTGGACTGAAGCAGGTGAAGGCAGACAAGGGGGAGATGAACATATTGATGGAATTGGAGATAAGTGTTGGTTTTAGCGAACTTATTACAACCGTCCATGAGGAAGATGAGTTGGCAAAACACAAGAAGAAGATTGAGGAGTTGAAGAGCGAGTTGACAAGAACAATTGGAAGGGAAATTGAGCGCCACGGAGAGAAGGTCCATCAAAGTAGCATAAATGGAGTTGCAAAAGGAGAATTAAAAAGTGAATGTTTGGTTGAAACATATGCCTCTTGAGATTGAAGATAGAGTGTATCAAAATTTGATCGTTCAACGGAGAGTGGTGGCTATTGGCTCTTTAGATTTATGGTTTTTGCAGCTACCACAACTCATTTCTATATTAAAACGAGGAATCATTGATTGATTTACTGAATTAGGTCGATTCTTTATTCAACCTACTGAAATTGATAGATAAGGAATGTCTAATTTTGTGCCTTATAACTTTGATCAAGTCTATTAGTATATTGGAGGTAACCTAAATTTTGTCGTTTGCTCTCAAGTTTTGATGTTTTCCTGTTAGCTTAGTTTTTAGTATATAGTTGACTTGAACCAACAACTCTTTATTTTTTTTTATTAGTGGCATATTGTTCCTAAAAGGAGAACATAGAAACCTTTATGTTGGATTGTGAGGTTTCATATTCAGTTTCAAACTATATATGGGTCGTGTGGTAATTCTTGTGAGCTTTTATATTCAATATTTCTTGACAATCAACTAACTAATATAATATTATCATTATGAAAATGAAATCAATGATACATTCTCATATTTTATATTCTTAAATAATGATGGTATTTCTTCGAGTGTTCGACCTATGTTTTTTTTTATGTATCATCTTGATCGAAGGATTGTCAAAAAAATTAAACGGATTGATAAATTTAAACGTAACATAAAATTATAAATAATAAAATATAAACATTCCGATCAACGTGACGGTTATAAGCTAGTTTCTGAGAAGAGATTTTTTTTAATAGAGTTTCTGATTAGAGATTAGTAGAAATGAAATCCGATTTCCTCAATTCTTCTTTGGGTAAATGACACATTTGGTCACTGAGATTATTAAATTGTGTCATGTTTAGTCACTAGAAAAAATTAATATCAATTTTGGTCACTCGAATTACCGAAACTGGTCAAATTTAGTCACTCTCCCAAAAGTTTCCGCCCAACTAATGTAGTTGGACGGAAACTTTTGGGAGAGTGACTAAATTTGACCAGTTTCGGTAATTCGAGTGACTAAATGTGACATTTTTCCATAATTCGAGTGACCGGAGTTAGACAGAGGCTACAGAAGAGTGACCAAATGTGACCTGTGTCAGTAATTCGAGTGACCAAAATTGATATTAAATTTTTCTAGTGACTAAATATGACACGATTTAGTAATCTCATTGACCAAATGTGTCATTTACCCATTCTTTTTTTTTCCTTTTTTCAAACGAGTGGTTCGGAATTCGTATCATCAACCCGTAAAGTAAATATCTCTTTCTTCTTCGAGCTTCTATCACTCTTCGTATCTATAACATTAATTTGCCCATCCATTTACAGTAGCTCAGTGCTGGATTCAACTGAGCTCTCCAATGTCGTCGTCGTCGTCTTCTTCTTTTCTCGTCCCCCTGAATCCGCCGCTTTCAATCATCCAACGCCACAAGCCGCCTCCCTCGCTTCCTCTTCTTGCGCTCTACTCCAAGCCTTCGCTCCACAAATCTCTTGTCTGCCATGCTCACTCCTCCGCGAACTCTTCGGATTCCGATCGCGAGGAAATTCTTTGGCACCGCGAAGAGCAGCGGTGGCTCCGCGAGGAGCAGCGGTGGCTCCGGGAAGAGCAGAGGTGGCTTCGCGAGCGGGAGTTGCTGTTGAGCGAAATTCAGTCGCTGAAGCTCCAAATCCAGGCCTTGGAGAAGACGATTCCGGTTGTCGGAGCTGATGCGGTACCGACGAATGTTGGAGCGTTGCTGCAGGTTTTGAAGGACCGGAGCTTGATTCTAGAGAGCGCGTCCAGTGCGACTCCGATCATACTGGAGGAGAACGTGGAAGAGGAGGCGGCGACGGCAGAGTCACAAGCTGCTGGTGTTGTGGAGGTGAAAACTGAGGAGACGAAGTCGAAGAAGAGGATAGCATTGAGAGCGGGAAGCGAAGGAGAGGAAGTTCGAGAGATGCAGGTGTGCTCGCAATAATACAATCCTGATGCATTTCTTCTAGGAATTTTGTAGCCAAGGCGAGTTGTTCATTTGTTTTCCTCTTCATTTCTATGGCTTTTCCTCAAGTGAATACGTTGTTATTCCTTCGAATAAACTGTGTGGAAGAAACCTGTAATAGTGAATTTGCGGTTCCAACTTTTCTGCTGATATCTATCTGGTTTGCTTGTTGGTTGGTTGCAGGAAGCATTGCAAAAACTGGGGTTCTACTCAGGGGAGGAGGATATGGAGTTTTCCAGTTTCTCAACTGGGACTGAGCGTGCTGTCAAGACTTGGCAAGTAAGTCGAGAATGCGCTAGTTTCTGTTATCTTCACCGAAAACAGTGGTCTATTTGTGTGGATTCTCATTGAAGAACTCTTAGTAAAGATAATAAGTGTGAATATAATGATTGAGAGCCTTGGCAGGCAACATTAGGTGCTCCAGAAGATGGAATAATGAGTGCGGAATTGCTCGAAAGGCTGTATGTGGAGACGAGGACCGAGGTTGAAACTCTAGATAGCAGCGCAGACAAGAAGGCATATGAGAGAAGGAGCTCTCTCAATTTTCCACTGAAGGTATCCTTGTCGTAGCACTCAAATCAGTTCTTATGTTACCATTACTGCTGGCTGCCGCCTATCGTTCTTGCTTCAAAGACCATGTTTCAAGTGGCAATCTGGGTACTGTTTAGGCGTCTCCGCTCTTAGGCACATACCCTATATGCCTTTAAGAGGTCACATGCATGAAAGGGTAGTAGATTCAGCAACCATTACGATTTGCTTCTCTGCATATATGAACATTTCCCATGTCAATGGGTACCTGGAAAGCAGTAGCTACTTGTTTCCAATATGCTGCTTACCCTGCTGGAAGTTCTTAACAGGGCGATGAGAATGGGACTGCAGTTGGTCTCATGACTGGAATATCAGAAACCAACCAGAAAGTGGTGAAGGATGAAGGTGCCAAGGAAGTCGAGGCATCTAAGCACCGAGTTTTTCTCCTTGGTGAGAATAGGTGGGAGGAACCATCGCGGCTTATTGGCAGAAACAAAGAACGCACTGCAAGTAAGGTGACGAGGACTACAAAGTGCCTCACTTGTCGTGGTGAACGCCGGTTGATGTGCACAGGTACTTCTTGCTTCCTCTCTTTTTGCCTGCTACCAATCAAAATCTAATCACTTCGGATAATGATCGTAAAATAAAAACAGTTATTGCACTTTGGTATCCAAGATGCTCCATCAATATTGGGAATACTGTTTCATGGTTTAAATTATGTGTTCTCTTCTGCTGCAGAATGTGATGGAACAGGGGAACCGAATATAGAACCACAGGTAAAGAACTACTGCATCCAACTATGCTCAATACGTTGCAGTTAATATCTTTTTGGTTAATTACACACCTGCATTGCTGAGAGCTCTTTAATTTCAACCCGGGGTTGCAGTTTCTGGAATGGATAGGCGAAGACACTAAGTGTGCATATTGCGAAGGCCTTGGGTTTATAACTTGTGATGTATGTGACGGTAAAACAGTTTCCTAGGTAGGTTGCTCTCCACCGGTATCGATTTTTAGACGAAGTAGCTGAAAGAGAGCATATACAGAAGCCAACTCGTTTGCCTGTAATAAATAATTCTTACAGTATCTCATGTATCAACGTATGCAAGGAACAAAAGCATATTTTGTGTACGTTCCAACATCTGCATAATATTCTTACAGAAAGCCAAAGTGCGATATAAACCAGTTATAATCTCGCTTATTCCTATAACATCTAACAAAGGACCATTCCCGTCACTGACCAAATAGTTCCGGCTAACTCTCTACTAGTACCAGTTACAGCATCTAGTAAGAAGCAGAATGGCCTACAGTACATCTAGTGCTCTCTCACCTAATTTAACACGTCTGCCCGAGCCTGAGGGTCTGGCAAAAGCAAGGGTATCGTTTCTTTTCATAGAATGAATTGATAAATTCCGAACGAATGATATGCTCCCCCTCTCACCTTTCTTTTACTAGGTATTACTATTTAGTATTTACATACTTGTCTTCGGTTTCTTAGCACCATCAACGCGCCTGCTCACAGATCGCATGGTGACGAACTCTTCAGCAGCAGAAGGGTGTATTCCCACCTGTTGCATGCAACATGGCCACATTATAAACCGTTTAGGCCATAGATAGAAATAGATAATCTCTTTCCCGTGCAGGCTTGCAACAACAAAAGTGGCTTCAAATTGGATCCCCCCCGAAGAGCCAAGATGCATCAAAACATGACTCGATAAAAGAAACAAATGACTCACCGTGCTGTCAAACTGTGCCTTTGTCGCTCCACACTTGAGCGCAATAGCAATGCCCTGTCAAGCAAAGAAGGCAGCGAAAACCAACGATTTTCAGTAAATGAAAGACTGCCTGCACCCAAACTAAATTAAACTAGAAAATCAAGCAAATGGCAGACGCTCAGAAGTTCGGTAGAATCTGTGCAACATGGAAATACAGGGAAAAGGCAAGAAAAATAGAACAGTGTGCCAACAGAAAGGAGAAGGAATGAAGCAGAATGCAAAAAGCACACGAGGAAACATAATGTACCTGCATAATTTCAGGTGCATCCGGCCCGCACATGGAAGCTCCCAAGACCTTGTCCGTATCAGCATCGACAACAAGTTTCATGACTGTCTTCTCTTGTCGTCTGTGACCAATGAGCGACAAATTAAGCAGTGCAGAGCTCAAACATGCACTGTCAAGACCATTAATATCACTCTATACTCAAATTGGAAAGACGGTTGGTTAAGTAGTCCTCATTTGTCAGTGACCACAAAACTAGAACTAGAAAAAAGTGCATGGTGTGGTTACAACCCTTTTGAGATATTGAAGTTATAGAAAATAAGGTTTCTCATCTTCATCCTCTAAAACCAAACCAGTTAACAAGACAACACAATCATCATGCATACCCGGATATGGTATTCCTCATAGGATTGAAGCTTGAAGTGAATACTAATATATCGCCAGTTGCTTGTTCAATTGCTTGCTCTTCACTCAGGCCGACAACCGAAAGGGGTGGTATGCTGTGAAGTAGTAAATCATATGTCACCATCACCACAATAAAAAGGCATGAAAGCCAAATGCACAAAAGTACAAGCTGAAAGTCTTTACCTGAACACAGCACATGGTATATGGTCGTAGTCTGGTTTAGTAGGTTCCCCACCGAAAACAGTTTTCTGCAAGCAACATAAACAATATTAAGAGAAGATAATTGAATGTGTGGTTATTAAATTTGTTTTCTTTCAAACACCAAAAGGCAGATAGAATATGTAAACATATGTCGCCAGATTAACAAAGAAGTTGAAAGTGTAGGATGAAAAGGGTGTAAACAGACACATACTGCAAAACATGTTCCCTCCATTAAGGCAACAGGTGTAAGATTCATTCGATTTGTGACATCACCAATGGCCCATATGCTAGGTATGTTTGTCTGTGAGTGCTCATTGACCTGGAAAACAGAGCTAACGAAGAACTTAGTACTCCAATCAGTAACATATCTAAATGACACTATAAGCATGAAACGCAGAGTTAGATGAACAATATCACTTTACAAACGATAACATGTTTATCTTGGACAACAAGACATCATTACCACCTAAAAGTACTTAAGACAAGACAATTTATTGACCAGTTCAATCCAAACAATATAAGAAATAGGGTATATGTACCATCTAGTGTCTCTCTAAATTAACAGTAGGGGAAAATTAACCATCCTTCATCTTGATCTACGGTCAGTATAGAAGCCAGGAATGAAAAGGCTACGTAGAACAAAATAATGATAAAGAAAACATTACTGACCTTGATAGCTCCCATCTTGTCAACCTCAACACCTACAGCTTCTAAATTTAATCTTTTTGAATTTGGGATCCTTCCTGTAAGAAATGCAAGAAGAAATTTAATGAGCAAAATACTACTCTAATTAGTGAGAGAGATATCTATTGATTCCGCATTTCCACAGAAGACAATAGTAGTATGGTGATATCTAAAGCCCATTAGAATGAGTTTGGGAGATATGTGAAATGAGCACCCCAAATTATGAACTACATTGACATGGTAGAGTGAGACTGTTACAACCATATCAGAAATCGATTCTTATGTACACTTCAATGCAAATAATTACAAGAAATGAATGTTGGCCTAATTGATCAAGCTGTAAGTAGCCTCAAGTTAAGTAAGCTTCAGCAATCAATCACCAATTACCTGTAGCAAAGAGTACCACATCTGCGACCAATTCTTCTCCATGATCTGTTCGAACTTTTATTCCATCTTCAGTTTTTATCAACTGAAATTTTAGAGACGAAAGCAGGTCACGTTTCATGTTATCGTGATAATAAACAAAGAGTCAAAGACCATCAACAAAAGTTTTAAGTGAATTAAAAGGTGGCACAATAAAACCAAATAATAGGTCACTTGTTGATTCTAATACTAATCAAAGAGTACCTCAGTGAGATTTTTTCTTGGATGCATATTGATTCCTCTCCCCTCAAGATTTCTTGCAACCACTGCTCTCATTTCATCATCAAAACCTCTGCATTGGCCATGTACATTAGTTAAAGAAATACAGTACAAGAATGATTGTGTTAGTAAGACGAGTCACATACAGTAAATTATCTTTAATTCCAAGAGCTTATTATCAAGCAATGGTAATTGAAATAAGATATTCGTAAAGTCACAAGGAGTTAACTGTTTCTTGTTTTGGCTTTTCTGGGTGAGAAAATATATTCCCCAAGTTCTCAGGATTTAAATTCTTTTGGCTTAACCATAAAAAAAAATCTTTTGGCTTTGATGGTGATCATGGAAGGAGGCATGGATTAGAACTATTTCTTTAATGAAAATAGGTATACTGGATCTTCGGAGGGAAATCAGCAGTAACATCATAGCATGAAAGAGATTTTTGGTGATTCTACATTTAAAAGGTCAACATTCTTTTCAGGGCAAAACACCACATCACAAACTTATTTTAAAAACATGATTGAGTAACAAAAGTGTCCATAAAGTTGGAGCCACAATCAACATTCAAGTGCCTTCAAGTGCTTTTATCTCCTCATACCAAACAAAAATAACCCTATTTCTCTGTCTTTGACATAATCTTAATAGACAAAATTATTACAACTTGACACATTGGCTTTAGCTTAACCTGATCGTTAAGCCATCCATTCCACTAAAAGGTACTATTATGAAATGCAAACAGTTCTCAGCATCAAAATATAGTCAACAGCAAGAATAAATCATAACCTCAGTGGAAGTTCCTTTCTGAAAAAGAGATCCACAGAAGCACCCATTCCACGCCATATAGAAGCAAACTCAACGGCAATGTACCTTCACATCAAATGGAATAGCCATCACAACCCAGAAACGTAAGATCTTACGCGAGATAGAAAAAAATCTTTAGACCTAACAAATTAAAGCTATTTTTACCCTCCTCCAAGCACTACAGCACGTTTAGGCATTTCTTCCAAGCTCAAGGCCTCGTCAGAAGTTATAGCCAACTCCTACATTATAAAAAGGGGAGATTATGTGATGCAAGAAATAGAAATACAACGGAATGAGGAAATTCTTGAAATGAAAGAGCAAAAAGAATGTACAATCAAACACAGTGGAAAGAAGTAAGAAAGAAACAAATTTAGTCAACATATGACACATGGATCTGCGATATGTTACCTAAGTACGCAGCTGTCAAAGGAAAGAAAATCACCTGTCCTGGAATAGCAGGGCTGTGCGCCCTACTTCCAGTGGCTATCAGTATATGTTTTGCAGAGTAGCGCAATTTAGTTCCATCTAACTGAGTAACTTCAACTTCATTGGGACCAACAACTCTTCCCTCGCCTTCATACAATTTAACCCCGGCATTGGACAACAACCGCTTGTAAATTCCATTCAATCTGAGTATTTCATCGGTCTGCAGATGCAAATGTAAATCGCCCCCGATGAATAACAGTACAGGCCACATATTATGTTTAATGTAGGTAAAAAAACATGTACTGACCTTCTTCTTCAACAGCTTTTTCCAGTTGAAGTCCAGGTTTTCTTTCAGTTCCCATCCATAGTTCCTTGCATCCTTCAAGAAGATTAAAAAATAACCATTAACTATCTATCATCAACAATTGTTGCTAAATTGAGAAAAAAAACAATACAGTATCGTCCTAATCAAAACTGATCCCAGTATTTCAAAAAGAAAAGGTCCAGCATTCCTGCCCCAAACAGTTGAAAAGCATTCAGTTGATAATCTATACACTTCAGAGCTACCTGACAGTCGAGATTACAAAATCTTTACACATGAAGTCTGAAGACGAACTACACAGCTGGTTATCAAAATCCTTCTAAATATACTACAGACACATTTCATGGGCATCTACACAAGTCGCAAAAAATGCATTGAACTCATTTCGAAAGACCATCCAGGAAACTCAAATCAGTCATTCCGGATGGTATCACAAACTCACCTCAAGTTCACCACCAAAAGATGCTCCATACACCAAAATCTTCTTGGGAACACAACCACGAATAACACACCTACAATAAAGAGTGGTGGTAACCTCAGTGATAAGACCAGATGAGAAAACAGCTATACCAAGAAAACAGAACTTGCAGTCCCAGAGAACCTACGTTCCACCAACTCCTCCAATCACTTCAGAGCTGATAGGATGAAATGGAAGCTCACATATGCCAACCTTCAAAAATTAATTTCTGCATTAGCAGAGTGTAGTTGCACATCCAGAAAACCATTAATATGGAGTATACAGATCCAAACAAAGCCAATACTGGAAATCCAAGTTGATGCTGTCCCCATAGTATTACAGATCGTCTAACAGTGAAGCTACGACATCAAGAATCTAATTCTAGTAGCCGATGAATCGTTTACATACGGAAGTGTGTTCCATTGCAGGATCGCCATCCTCCAGCGAACCTACACAGCTCGAGTATACTATTCTATTCTATCACAGCATGATCAAGGAGCAAAGAAATACAGCTTTACCTTCTTAGCTCCAAAATTAGTAGAGAATCTAGAAGCACGAACACCGCCACTGCCAGCTCCAATGACGAACAAGTCAAAATCAAAGTGACCCTCCTCGGCCTCGTTGGTCTGGCTCAGCTCTCCATCGATAAGCATTTTCCTCGCCATGATCTCGATATACTACTGCGACCAGAAAATGAAACGAAAGATAAGCAGAACATTTCTCTTCGATTTCTGGACACGACAAATCTAGGCATCTCGAGCTAGGCAACTGTAGGGATCTTACTTACCTCGTGTGAAACTACTACAGCAAATCGATCTGGCAAGACGACGGAGCGCAGCAGAGAGACAGACTAGGGTTTAAGAAGAGTGGAAAAGACCGAATTAGGTAGTGAAATGAACTCAAGCTTAAAGTGCAGGTCGGTTCTGCTCGGTATGTGATATTGTGATTTGCACAGCTCCACGATTGGAAGGCGAAACACCGAGAGCCGCCAGCAAAACTGATGATGAGAGTAAAATTGCAAATTCAAATATTTGCAGTAGTGCTCCTGCCACACGGCCGTATTTGCAGAACCAGTCCCCGCATCAGGGACGTGCCCAGCCTAAATCGCAAGTCAGGCAAGCGATTCTCCATAAGTCTTGGAGTACAATTCGTCACTTGCCGTTAGTTGCCGTCCAAATCCGTTAAAAGAGTCCGTTATGTGCTGACATGGCTAACAGAATCGCCTAGTCAGCATTGTTTTGGACCAGATATGGTCAAACCCGACCCGGCATGTCACTAAACCCGCCACGTAACTAAATCCAACCCAACCCATTAACCCAGTCGGACCCAAAACCAAAGCCGATCCAGTTAACAAAACAAAATTGGAAAATCATTCGGGTTAGTGGCATTTTCAGACCCGAAACCCTTCTCCTTCCTCCAGAAGCTCTGCTCCTTCAATTGCATCTACCATTTTTGATAGAACACATCAGAGAGCAGAGAGAGATGGAGCCAGCCACTCTACCCCTTGACCCCCTTGTCCCAGATCCTTCTTCGAAGTCGACTTCTTCTTCGTCGCGCGCTGGCTTCAATTCCCCCATCGCAACAGACAAAGAAACCCTAAGATCCACCTGCGAATCCGCTCTGTACTTCTTCTTCGTCGTGCTTCCCCCATCACAGCAGTGGACGAAACCCTAAATCGATTCCCCCATTGCGCTGGCGTCAATTTCCCGTCTCCTGTAATTGTCCTGTAGAAGCACTGACCGGAGCGGCAGGATGAGACGTCGAGAGTGGCACACTCCGGTGAGCTGCAGAAGAGCGGGGAATAGGAGGAGGAGGAAGGCTGGTTGAAGATCGGGTCTGTTTGCTGAGCCAGGCCCGGGAGAAGTACTCCCCGCTGCCCTGGTTCGACCCGGATGTGATGGAAGTCGATAAATCGGACTGAGAGATGAAATGGGGGGAGTCGGAATCGAGTAGAGGGGTGAGGTCGGAGTAAGAGAGGAGGAGCTTGGCGGAGATGGACGGGGCAGAGTCGCATCGGAGCCTGGCCGAGGTGAGAGATTTGTAGTCCGGGTGGTTGGATCTGACGACCGATCATCTTCAGATGAGGTCAAGGGATGATGGGGGGAGACGTTGAGCTTGATGGGGGAAGAAGAAGCTTGTTCTTCGGGTTCTTGTTCGATGAAGGTAGTGGATTGAATGTCGAAGGAGAGGATGTGGTGAGCTCGGTGGAGTGAAACGGAATGGGCGGATTTGCCGGCGATGTGAAATGGAAGGCGGAGAAGTGGAGAGGCGTGGTAGAGATGGAGAATAGGGTCGAGTTTTGTTATGGGTCCGGTTGGGTTAGTGGACTGGGTTGGAACAATGACGTGGCGGGTTTAGTGACGTGGCAGGTCGGGTTTGACCATATATGGTCCAAAACAATGCTGATTAGGAGATTCTGTTAGCCATGTTAGCACATAACGGACTCTTTTAACGGAGTTGGACGGCAACTAACGGCGAGTGACTAAATGTGTCCTGTTTTAGTAATTATAGTGACCAAATTTGATATTAACTTTTTTTAGTGACTAAACATGTCCCGATTTAGTAATTTCAGTGACCAAATGTGTCTTTAACCCTTTTTTTTTAAATATAATTTAATAATTAAATCTTTTACCTGAAAACAAAATAATAGTCAAACCTTTTCAAAAATAAATTATTAGCCAAATCGTTAACTTTTCACCTGGTCAATCGTCAGTTAACTCCGACGTGGAAATGAACTATACATGTCAGCTCATTTTTACTGATGTGGCAACTAATAAAAATTAATGAATCATTTTATTGTTCAAATTAAAAAAGAAATGGAAAATGTTGCCATTATCTAATCACACACTCTCTCTCTCTTCATTCTCGTCCACCCGTTCTCCCCGTTTAAATTCCTCTCTAAGACGAAACCCTTTCCTCCGGCCAAACTCATCCCCGTCGGCCACCACAGAACCAAAATTAACGGCACCGGCTTCGTCCCTCCTCATGTGAAGGCCGGAAAAACGCGAGCGTCGCCCCCGGTCGTGCATTCCCAGGCCGGGGCTTTTTGCCAAAGAGACGTCGGAGCGCTGGCGAGGAGACGACGGAGCGGTGAAGGAGACGACTGATTTAGGTACCCATTCCCTGATTTTGCTTTCAAACCCTAGGTTCTTTATCCCAATTTGATTGAAATTACCCTCTTTTATAGTAGTGTGATTTTGATGGAATCTGGTTTGTGAGGACCACAACGGGACCACTGAAAATAACAGTTTGTGTGGAATTATGCTTTCAGAGAAGATAGCAGTGGATGTTGATGAAGTGTGTTACTTTGAGCTTTTGAATGTGGCTACACTTTACGTGAAGTATGTTGGCGTTCGAAAGATATGGTACCTTGACACCGGGGGCTACAATGGCAGATGGTGTACATGAAGTGCATTCCGATAAGGATGTGATGGAAGGGTTGCTAGTCGATGCAGTCGGTACTAGGGATGTGTCAGTTTTTGTAGAGGCTGTCGAGGTGGAGGATGGCCTGGTGGGAGACAATGAGGAACCAGACTTGTTTCAAGGTTTGCCGAAGGAAGCTGAAGATATTGGTGAGGGCTCGGTTGCGAGAAAAGTGATCCATGTTGCTGACTCTGGGGATTCTCTTATGCCAGAGCCAAATAATTCAGCCCCCTGTCCCATGTCAGTTTCTGATTCAGGGGATGAAGTTGAGCAGCCTGGTGGTGTTGAAGATGATTACCTTGACGTGGAAGAAGGATCAGCTGATTCTTCTGATGAGGCTGCCAGAGAAACCAATCCAAGGGTGACGAATGTGTTCAATGAAGAGCCCGATGAAAGATATGCATATTTGCCATTTTATGATCTCGATTGTGATCATGAGGACTTCTTCTTCAAGATTGGGCTGAAGTTCTTGTATGTTGAGCAATTTAGAGATGTTATATACAAGCACTCTGTTGCTATTGGGGCAAATGTCGCATGTACAAGGAGTCATGGAAGTAGGAGGGAGTTTAAATGCAAGAATGCGGCTTGTGATTGGAGGGTAAATCTGTATGGTGGGGAGATGGTGCAAGTTTCATGGTTAGGCGGATAGGTACACCTCACACTTGCTCTTGGTCTATACGAGTCAACTTAGCGACTGCAAGGTTACTTGCTCAACATTATTTCGAGCGACTCAGGGTCAATCCGAAGTGGGAGCCTTGCCATATTGCTTAGGAGGTGAAAGCAAAATTGGGGGTCGATGTTGAGGTAAGAACTTGCTACCGAGCTAAAGTTATTGCAAGGGAAATGTTGGATGGGACCCTCGACGAAGAGTATCAAAAGTTGAGAAGCTATGTGACAGCTTGAAGAGGGCTGATTCGGAAGGACGATTCATTCTAGATGTTGTTCCATACGGGGCAGCGGATAAGGTGTATTTCAGACGGTTCATGGTGACGTTCTCGACTCTGAAAAATGAATTCCTCGCTTGGATGTTGTTAACTGCTGTGAGGAAAGATAGGAATAACCACATTCTCCCATTTGCATGGGTTGTGGTAGAGGGAGAGAACAAAGAGGCATGGACATGGTTTCTTAGCATAATCCAAGAAGAGTTAATGTTTGGTGATGGAAGCGGATGGAGCATCATTTCTGACCAACAAAAGGTAAATTTTAAGTCAATTTTGTTGTTGTGTTCAATTCTAAAAATGGTTGCTGCTGTGAGAGATATAATAGAGTTAGTAATAGGTTTGAGCTTCCTGTGTTCTTAATGGTTGGTTTGCAGGGGCTGGTCGAGGCTATGCATGATGTGATGCCTAGTGCAGAGCATAGGAAGTGTTCCCGTCATGTGAATGCGAACTGGAAGGCCAAGAACAAGAATGATCGAATGCAGGGCGTATTCTGGAAGGCTGTATATGCTTACAATGAGGCTGATTTTAAGGAAGCTTCTTCTGAGATGAAAGCATACGAAAAAGAGGCTTCCACAACTGAAAAACCATACACTGACTTCATAGATCAACACCCAACTACATTCTGTCGTGCATTTATATCTAGTCCCGAAGTCTGACTTTGTTGAGAGTAATATTTGTGAGAGCTAGAACAATGTAATGCTCAAGCACAGGGAGCAGAGAATTATTGTTATGCTGGAGGGCATTCAAGGTTACATGATAGTTTGAATGAGGAAGATGCATCGGTGATTTGAAAGGCTTTGGAACTTGATATGTCCACAGGCAAGAAGCATCATAGTCGAAGAGGATGTCAAGGCAAGAAAGTGCCTTGCTCGTGCTAGCACCAATGACAAAGTTGAAGTCCGTATTGGGGCAGCATGATTCGTGGTTGATTTGGGAAGTCGTGATTGTACCTGTGGGGCTTGGCAACTAATGAGACTGAAGTTGGACGATTATGTGCATGAGTGCTACCTCGTGACCACAGCTAGAAAGGTATATGCACACAGAATGCTATGTATGAGTGGACCACATACTTGACATAGTGCTGAAAGATATCTTGTATACCCGCAGATTCAGAAGGCAATGCCGGGGAGGCCTAAGAAGAAAAGAAGAAATGAGGCGGTTGAACTCGAGGCTCGAGTGCATAAGAATGGTTGGGGATACTCAATTGGGTGTGAAGGAATGGTGATGCATTGCAGCAAGTGTCGAGGTACAGGACATAATGCTAGGAAGTGTCCCAATTCACCATTTGTTCCGAGTGAACCAGTTATGGAAACGTCCAAGGTAGGGAACACGATGGAAAGGGACACGAGGGAGAGGAAGGAGGCATCAAGGTGGTTCGAATGAAGGAGTGAGAGGGCAGCCAATGGAATCCCAAAACGAAGCAAGCAGACCAAAGGTATGATTTTACATACTACTCCCCATTACAAACACTATACTCTGCTTACAATATCTCACCATTGTATATTCCACAGAGGGTCATCCATTGTGGTTCGTGTAAACAGGCTGGACATAATGCTAGGAAGTGTCCACTGAACATGGGAATTCAAGTAAGTAGATGTGTTGTTGCAAAACAATCCCTTTTGCATGAATTTGTCTTCTCGAGTATCTGACTGGTTTTGGTTACAAATATATAGCATGCTAGAATTGAGGTTTGGAATACGAACCAAGTTTCCTAAGAAGTCAAAACTGCCTTAGGTGGCATTGGTATATATACAAATGCGAACACTGAGAACCAGTATGTCCATGTACGTGAGAATGGTGTCAATTAGCCTTGCTTTACCAATGTTTTACTTACAATGTAATAAGTAATAGTAGTTGTAACTAACTGATTATGTTGGCTATAACTTTTCAGTTTACGAGGGTGGAGAATGTTGGAGTTCGTAGTTCTGCAGAAGCTGTTGGTACCCAACCAATTGAGATTGATGCGACACAGCGACCAACAACTCAACCTGAGTAGTAGTATAGGGAAATTAGTAGTTATAGTTTAGAAGCATACAAAATGAAGTTAAGTTTGTGGTGAATTGAGCCGATTTAGTTAGTTTGGCTCACTTCTACCAATTTTTGCATTTTGTACAGTTCACTTCATAGTTTAGACCTGCACTCTTCTGCTTCTTAATGTAAATGTGAAGCAGATTGATGAAGATGAGCTAGTGGCACTGGCGGATCCAGGGGGTGGCCACCCCGGGCCCCGGCCCAGCCCTCCTCTGGATCCGGAGTTAGTATAGTCTTTATGAATTTTTCGATTTTAGTTATTCGGCCCAGTGTTATTTTACAAAAAAATTGGGTGTAACTAGAAAAATGATTCAAATTAACATATTAAAATCACTACTATAAATTTAGCCTAGAAATTCTACCTCCAAAGATTATTCTTCTAAAAAAACAATGAAATCTAAAAGTCTAAAAGTCTAAACGTCTAAACGTAAAAGACTATAAGAAATTTGAGTTTTATTCCCTGGAAATTTACTAAAGCAGCTAGTGGATATAGGTATGGACACACAATGCACGATTGATTTGTCTAGCGTTGACGCTGATCGTATCACCAATTACTACGGGGAGAACCTTTTCAACAATGAAACATATGAAAACTTATTTATGCAACAAAACGAGCAATGAATTTCTCGCCGATTGCTCAAGTATTTTATTTAAAACAGTGTATACTATTGGTATGGATGTAGACTCCATTATTGATGTATTCGCTAAATTAAAATACCATCGTGTACAATTTATATTGTAAAAAAATTATAATGTTTTTTTACGATTCTAATTTTCTAATGAAATGCGGCCCAGTGCTCTTCTGTGTTCTGGATCCGCCGCTGGCTAGTGGTGAATTGAACCAATGTAGTTTGATTGGCTCTCTTCTACCGACTTTTGCATTTTGTACAGGTTCACTTCATAGTTGTGTTTATGGAAAGGATATGCACACTTCTGCCGACTTTTGCAGACTTGAGTCATATGTTAATGTACTGATCGTTTGCAGACTTAATAGTTGTGTTACATTGGTTTTGATAGTTGTGTTAAAACATGCAGCACTCTATTGCAAATTGAAGTACATAACACTCATTGCAAATTTAGGTGCAACACACTTTCCAGAACACATTAATCACTCATTGAAACCACGAAAGTACAACACAAAGCATAACAACTAGAACAAATATCACCACATTCTTTATCCTGCTTTCAAAAACATCAAACACATTGCTCAGTTTCCTCAACTCGGATTCCATTCTTGCGTGATCCACCTTGGTACTCATAAGCTCTTCTAAAAGCAAATTTTTAGCCTTTTTCTGCCTTTCTCCCTTCATCCAAGCAATCCTACAACTCTCTTCCATTTCAATCAGTTTGGTCTTAAGCTCATCTTCTGATTCCTTCCAAATTTTGGGTTCGTACTCATCAACCCACACGAAGAACTTGCACTTTACATTCGAATCCTACAAAAAGAGGGCTTCTCAGACATGTACAATAGATAAATCGAAAGGCCACCAACTAAACAAATTGTGTTACCTTCCAGTATTGACAACAGTAGAACTTTCTTCCCGGATTCTTGTTGGTACGAGACACCTATAAAATGCATGGACAATCGTGGCATATAGGTCTTGAATCTTGATTCGTGTTGGTAGAAGAGGAAGAACCGTCCCTAGCAGACATGGGGATCTTATGCACCAAAGCTTGCCGGGTATTGGACAATAAAGCCACCACGACGAGATCTGGGAGGGATGCAGTCAGGAGCCTCGAGTGGAGCTCTGGGACGAGGGAGAATGGCGGAGAAGGTAGGATTTTTGGCGGGGCGAGAGAGTCAGACCGAGGAGGGAATTACTTCGATAGGGAGAAGGAATGGTCGCCGGACGGAAGGGGAGAGACTGGGCGGAGGGGGAGAATGAATGCCCCCAATTTTTTCCCCAGCTACTTAATAAAATTAATAACTCGGAAACTTTAAAAAATTGGGAAAATATTATCCGACGTGTACAACTCCTTTTCACATCGGAGTCAACTGACGATTGACCAGACGGAAAGTTAACGATTTGGCTAATAATTTATTTTAAAAAAGGTTTGGTTATTATTTTGTTTAAAATGAAATGTTTGGGTATTAAATTGTATTTACCCTTTATTTTATTTTATCTACCGTGAAATATATTATTACATGAAATATTTTTTTTATAAGGGTGACATATGTTGATTTTTATAATTAGGTGTTATTGAAGGATTCAAACATATGACTTTTAGGTTCAACGCTAGTAATATTATCACAAGATCAAGCATTTGTTTGCCAAATAATGAGATAATTGATGTTCTAACCCTCAAAAATCTTGCCAATAACATTGAAAATAGAAAAGATTAAAAGAAATAATTCAAATTGAATTTTCCTTTGAAATTGTATAGGATATATCTCATATCAAGACTTGATATATGAAGAGGCAATACATTCACGAGATCGGGAGTTTAGACTTCAAATTTCATAAGCCTAGTCGCTTATCAGATCCCTTCTCACCCCGTGTTAAACTTTACATTTATGTTGTTGCTCATCTTTAATTATGACGTTAAGATTTCTTCACGACTGTTTCATACTAACATAACTTCTAAATCGAATATACAGAACATTGAGATTGTGTGACGACTGACTTACATCCCGACTCGCCGAAGGGACCAGATTTCAGCAACAATTGGAGGTCTGAGAACGACTGGTTCTGCCTCTGGCTCGTTGCAACTTGCAGTACTGTACTTGGATAGGAGGCTCTTAATTACCGGAAACTTCATGCAGTGTCTTGAAGAAACGTTAAACCTACAACCCAGTTGTTCTTGGTTCCCGTTTGTACTGGATAGTGTTGGGGAGAAAGAAAACAGTAAATCACACAACTAGAACTTGATCGTTGAGAAAAAGGATACACAAAATTCAACCACTTTTTTCGTATGTGAAAGAAACATAGTGAAACATCATCTCTATTTAGAGCAAAACTCATCGAGAAATATTTTACACAGAGAACGGGAGAACTAAAATCTCCAGGCAATGCAACCTAAGAGGAGAGGATACTTACATCCCCCACCGATCCTTATTGCACAAGAAGAACACTAAATCAATGGGAATAAAGGACACCTGATATTACATTACATGTATTGCTCTTTCTGGGTCGTAATAAGATTATTTTCTTCTTTTTGTTCTCTGCTTTCTTGAAGAAAAATTGTCAGCGGCTGAAAATGAAGGGTGGATTTGAGTCTCAAGACGGGAACCATTCCAAGCGAAAGGGGACGGGAGCAGTTGCTAGACCAAGCAAGCAGCAAGCCTACTTCCAGATCTTAACACATTTGTCATGGCTTGCGGAGGCAATCATCCCTGTAACAGGAGATGCTACCAGAGCTGATATGACACAGTTGTGAGCTGGAACTGTCATGCACTTGTTCTCTGCCATGTTCCACAGCTCCATTGACTGAACAAATAGTGACGATTAATACTATAAGTTAAGAATTACCACCTCTGAATGAAAGCAATCAGGATGTGAATTCTGAAAGCAAATTATAAGGTTCTTAAAAGGTTAGGGATGTCAGTGAGATTCATTGAATGTGAGCAGAGCAAGAGTTGTGTGCTACTGTTAAGATACCTGATAGCTCCCAATGATTAAGAGAGTCGAGAAGGTTGGGTGGTAAACACAAGAATGGAACTTGTTCCCACTGGAAGTAAGTTCATGAACGCACTCTCCGGAGGCCAATGACCAGACCCTGACAGATTCCTGACTTGCAGATGCCAAGAATTCTCCATTGATATCCCAGCAAACAGAGTGCACCTCGGTGGCATGCCCCTGGTTTCAGGAAGATAAACAACCATTCGGGAATTAACATTTGGAGACATCTTTATTTATTAACACTTCTCTTGCACTGGTGGTTTACTATTAGTTAAGACCTTTACCTTCAAAGAGTGAGTCTGTCTGTCAGTCTCAACGTCAAAGACGGACACAACATTCTCTGCTGCAGCAGCCAGTAGTTGTCCAGTTCTTGGCTGAAACCTAACTTGTGCTGTACCTCCCTGCTCCCACAGGATGCCCAGATATTATCAACCACGTTACAACTTTTCTTCCTCACATAAAATAAAATAAAAAATAGTACAGGTTTCTAAGGCCAACCTTGGATACGCGAACACAAGAATACTGATTCATGTTCCAGAACCGAATCTCGTTATTACCGTCACAGGAGCAGAAAAGGTCATACTTCCTAGGATGGAAGTCAAGGGACATCACATGAGAGGTGTGTCCCGTATAGGACTGCAGCGGGTATCTTGGCTGCAAAGCATAAGCCATGCTAAGTGCGACTAGCAACATTATTATTAAAAATCATACCCAAAAATCAACGTGCAGAACAAGACCTCTTCTGTTGAAATTTTTTGGATTCGAGATTTGGGTCTAATGATATTCAGCACCAGCATACACAAGACATAGCACAAAAGACATATATTCTCACAGGCAACTACTTCTATTGAATAAATAATTACAGTATCATTTCAATTCAAAATGTAATTCAAAATTTGTTGCAAATTTGGGACTTTCAGTTGATATATTGTTCACATATCATCACAAACAGAAGCAAACACCCAAAATATGATATTTGCAACACAGTTCATGAGTCCGCAGCAAAACCTAAAAGAGTAAACGAAATACAACTACAAGTCTACAATAAACAAAGAACAGACAAGACAGGGGGGGGGGGGGGGAAATGAAAAGCTATATCAAGGAGGGTATCCCCTAACTGCTAGAAATGCAAGACTGAGTTATGTGAGTGAAGTTGGTCGAGAAAAATTTACCTCTGCCGCATCCCAAAGTTTCACAGTTGTATCAAATGAAGATGTTGCCAGCTGGGTTGAATTTGGCCTAAACCGCACATCAGTTATGATGTGGGTATGATCTTCAGGAGTACTCTCAGTTTTCAGGGTTTCCATATTCCAAAGAACAACCTATTCAGAAGAAATCACACACAACCATATCAACATTTATTAACTGTTAAATCTATTACTAACAAGACAATGTCCTGTAGCTTTCCTTGTACCACGGCTGCACCAGTCCCCAATTTGACCCAAATGAATTAACAAAAGCAAGATAACTAAAGTTCACTCAATATCAAAAATTGAAAATTAAGGTCACCCAATCCACTACGAAGCATTGTACCTTCTTGTCATGCCCAGCACTAGCTAACCACTTGCCATCTGTAGAGAAATGACAGCAGACAACTTTGCTATTGCTTTCACGTATAGAACCAACTTCATTGAAAGAAAAACCTGCGAAGAAAAGGAAGTTATAAACAGGGTAGTTGGAAGAATGGTTGAAAAGGGGGGGGGGGGGGGGGGGGGGGGTTCATTGGGGGCAGAGATACTCTTAAAAAGTTACAACAGTGATTACCCTTTGAAGCTTCAGCATGCTCAGAGGGGTTCCTCTTTAATGTACCAAATAAATCTCTTCCATCTCCTTCCTCCTGTGATAGGAAAGATTCAACATCTCCAACATCTCCAAAGTTCTCTATGTCTTCCTGCAATCAAAACTAACATAAATTAGTATTCATGCACCACTTTATCTCAATGGTTATGCCTATTCAAGAAATTAGTCATGCGAGAAAAATCATATCAACTTCAGAAGACTCCCTTCTGCAGCAGAAAATCAGAATACTCAAAAGCTTCTACGGTTAGAGTTCAAAGTTAATTGTACATACCAGCTGATTGGTCGATGATGCAAGAGCTCCAGCACCATCCGCAGCATACATCATCATGCCTTTGGACATGTTACTGACATGCTGCATATTGTTGGGAGCAGTAATTCCATCACCAGGAGTATGCGTTGATGGTGTTGATGGCTGAGAATTAGGTCCAACTGTGTTTGCTGTGCCTGTACTATTAGCAGGTCCAGAAGATGAAGGTCCTTTCCTCTTCCGGTTACTCTATTAATCATAAAACAGGGATCAGTCATTGTCTGAGTGGAAATGATATATGCAAGCTTTTTTTAGGCAATTAACAGGCACAACCTGCTGCGGTTGCTGTGGTTGCAAAGGATCCAGTTGTTGAGATGATGATTGCTGCATTGGTGGTCCATTCATCTGCTGGGATAATCGAATAGAACCAATCAGTAAAACAAAAATTACGTGTATAATGTACTTCTGATGCATTCAGTGCAAAAAGGTTACTTTTGATGAAGTTGATTGCATTGGAGAACCAATGGATCCATCGTTTCCATTTTGCTGGCCATCTTTGGGATTCAAGGCACCTCTAGGCAATCCTCTTAACTTTTGTGGATCCATGTTACCATAAATCTGTGAACCAGCCAAATTGCCTTGAACTTGGACCTGTGCCAAGAGCTGTTGTTGCTGCTGCTGTGGCAGGAGTTGGAACTGACTTTGTAAAATAGGAGGCCTTTGAGCTTGTGGACCTAAATTTGGTCTAATCTGCTCAATTCCCTGTGCAAGTGACAACGAGTCGAATTGATTGTCACCAGATAGTTGATTCTCATTGGATCTTTAACAAATCAAGTTCCAAAAGGGAAATAAAGCAGACTTACAGTTAACGGCCATCCCTTCAATGGAAGACCACTAACAGCAGGGTTCAATCCTGATCAATAAGTGAACAAAAAAGCACCGTAAAATTATTCAAAGAGAGAAAAAAAAAACTTGAGTTAGCATGTCAAGAAATCAGGGTATAGTTGCTGAGTATATGATCACATCCGTTGTCAAGGAATCCATCAACAGTAAGGATTTGGAGTTTGTACCTGCATTTCCCATCCCAGGTTTTGATTGCATAATTCCTTGACTGTATATAGAAGAAGGATCCATTGGCAAAGATCTCTGAGCAGCCCCAAGGTTGACTTCACCTTTTATGTCCTGCAAATCCCATTGAGGAGGTTGAAGATTGACCCGGACAAGCTAAAGAAAAAGTGACAGAATAAAAAAGCCAAATAAATGTTGCAACAAGTTGTCTCAGTACTCACGTTGGTCTGCTGGGTTCGTGCCTGGATTTGCTGCAATGCTGCGGAGACACTCCCAGGATTTCCTTGGACCAACTGGCTGTGTCCACATAGAAAAGTCAGCATGCAAACTGTGTAGCAAATAAGATTATGAAACCAACAGTAGATTTACCCAGGGTGGTTGGATGCAGATTTTAGGAGGGCCATCCTTGGATCAAGAAGAGGTTGAGATGTTTCAGAGTCCATTTGATTCGAGTGTTTCATACGATCTTCATACATTTTCGCAGCTAATGCGCTCGCATTTGGTTGCCCCAACATACCCTCGGAACCGATGGCATTGACCTGACCTCCAAGTGCTGAAGTATTAGGACCTCCACGTTGCATCTGTGCTTGACGCATCAACTGTAACTGTTGCATTTGCAGCTGTTGTTCCTTTGCCTTGATTTGTTGTGCCTTAACAGGTTACACAATGCATTCCTTACCAATCAGTATAGATTGCACAATCAACAAACAGAATGAGGACCTCAATGAAATCTATAAAAAAAAACTACCTCTATATATGCAGCTGCAGCCTCGGAATGTTTCTCATTTGTCCTAGCTATAAATATATCCCAAAACACAGACCACCACTCAAATAGAAACCCTCCTGGAGCATCAATAGCTGCACAGAGAAGTTAGAATTTAGAAACCTGTTTGTGGGAAGCGAATTGTTTATTACAAGTCAAACACCGAAAAAGCTGGGCCAAAAATTAGGAAGCTTTACTAACCTACAGGATCAGGGGAAACTTTCCCTTCAGTCATGAAGGACTTTGCGGTATTATGCAACTTCTTCTTCACCAAATAATCGTATATGTACACATCAAGCCTGCCAATTTCGCCCACAAGAGAAAAAAGATACTAATTATAGCAAAAGAATCACAAAATCGAGCTTGAAAAGAGCATTCACTCACTGCAAGTAGAGTAACAACAGCAATGTCCGAGCAGAACTCACATCTTATCTGCCTCCCAATTACTTTGCGCCATTTTGGTTCTACTTCAGCTTGAACAATAACAACAACCAACTACACAAGCGATGAACTCACAGAATCAATTCCAAATCGAGCTAGACGAGCAAAATTGCCAATTAAATCCGAATTCCAATTCAATGAACTGGCCTCTTAAGTCAGAACCCAGCTGGCTCGATCAAACCGACATTACTAATCTCGCCGCATTCAGCAGTGATCATGCAATCGATTCAGAATTGAGCAAGCTGAAACGATACAGAATCGGGAAATTGTCAGGCCGGAGTAGGGGAGATTGGATCTCAAACCACAATGGCCTGCAGCCGCAATCCCTTTCACTGGGAAATCCTCCGAGCTCCCGAAGACGGGACGGGGTTGGCGCGACTTGAAGCGGCAGAATCAATGGAAGGATCAGAAGGAGAGGTTGATTTGCAGTAGGAACGTTGACGAACCACCGAGAGGGGAATGGGGGAGAGAGAACGACTGGGGTTTCCTTTGATAATTGGTTTTGGGGTTAATGACCGTATGGTCACCGTATCAGCTATATATGACATATTAGCCACTGAATTCTTACTTGAGACAACGAAAGCACGGAACTTGACAAATTAAAATGCATTTAGTCACTCCATCACTTTTTTTTTATCCAAATCGGTAAAAATCTTTACTTTAAATTACATTTTAGTCCTCTAAAGTTTTAAACACAGAACAATAGTCCATAATCAACTTACAAAATCGAAAAAAGTATTCGAACTCTAAAGTCTAATCTTAAGTTAAATATGACCAATTTGGTCCACCTAAATACTAAAGGAAAGGCTGTGATGTAGAATTTCAAGTAGAAGTGAATAAAAGACACTGAAATTCCACCCAGTCGATCCACCAACAATATCCAAAAAAAAAAAAAAATCAAATTTATATGGGTGGGTGCTGGTTTGGATGGTTAAAACTCAATAATATCAAATTCTGTCATTAGTGGTTAAATTTATAGTATGAATAAAAAATGTGACTATAAAATATAAACACATTTTTTTCTAATGTAATGTCATGTAAGAGCATCTCCATTGGAATTGCATTTAGAATTGCATTATGACATGACATTTATTTGCAATTGCATTGATGTAGATGACAATTGCATTATTGCATCTTTGCAAGCTTGCATATAATGCAATTATGAAATGCAAGCCACATCATCTTTTTTATTATTAAATTATTCATTAATTTTATTATTTGAGTGTTTATGTTTTAATAAATTAAATTAAAAAAATTAGTTGCATTTGCAAGTTAATTGCATTGATGTGGTGCAATGCAAGTAAGATGAGTTGGATTGCAAAAAATGAAGTAACAATAAAAAAAATAAATGCAATTGCACCAATGGAGATACTCTAATTCTTATTTTCCATATAATATTTTCATAAGTTAAAATTTATTGTCTTGTAATGGGTTAATTTTCACACAACCGATCATTGTGTGACAAAAAAAACCCAATACGATCTTGAGATGTATCAGTGGATTTGGATTTCCTATTAGTTCTCGATGGCTTTCAAATGAGAATTTGAATAACATTTGACAAGATTGGAAATATTATTCTGCTTCCACTAAAAGAAAATAGGGGTATAGAGACAATCCAAATGTGTCACTATAAGACATTTATTTGTCTCTATATTCTTATAGATACACATAACATATTTGTCTCAAGTAGTGTAGTTGCTACAGACCTATAGAAACAAATATAGAGACATATCTCATTCATTGCCTAATTGAGATATGACCACTAATATTTTAGTATCTAATATCTCTTTCTAGTGACTATTAATTTGCACCTGCATCTAATTTTAACAACACAAATATTTGTCTCTAGATAATTTTTACTAAAAATAATTTCGCCTCTAATATCACTTAAAGAGACAAATCGTTATTGTTTGAGCCGAGATACTTAGGAGCCCAATTCCCCACCTGCTCTCTCCTCGTGCGATGAGTCCTGGGCACCTGACCTGCACACATGCACACGGAGGGGGGCGCCTGGGCCCGTTAATCTTCCGACGAGCAAGATAGTTTAGATTTTAGAGAGAGAAGTACCAAGCTCTAGTGTTTAGTGAGAGAATCCAACCTGCGTAAATGCTACCTGCCGACACTATTTATACTCACCCAACCCTGAACCAGGCTTCTTCAACCCAGTTCGTCGTCAGCATCACATTTAATACTCTGTACTTCTGCCAGGCTAGGCGCCCCGACCAACTTGTCAGGCCTCTGACAAGTGCAAGGCGCCCAGACCGTACTCTCTTGGAGTCTTCCGAACCTTGTCTCCTAGCTTCCTATATTACACATAGGCTTGGCCTCGCGAACCAATTCGTGGACTGGGCCCATGAAGTACCCTTTTCTTCCTTATTGGGCCGCCTTGGGCCTTCTCTTGGGCCTATCTTCGTAATTCCCCAACAATTGCCCCCCAGTTAGGCTCTCAAGCCTCCAAAACTTGAGGACCTGACTATGCTCAAGGGTCTGATTACGCGAGTCTCCCCTTTATCGTCTCGATCTCCACTTCAGAGGCGCCCCAATCTTCGATGAACTACTCACGAGTCCACCCGCTGTCGTCCGGTAGGCGCCCCGTTCATACACACCTCTTTTCCCGGCACCTTAGCTGCTGAGCTACAGGCGCCCCGCACCTCTCGCTCATCTTCTTTGCCGCGTTGGGTGCCTGTTATCGTGTGCTTTTCGCCTATCACATACCGCCTCGCCTTACCGCTGAGTTGGGTGCCTGGTGATCTTCAGTCTTCTCCCAAAATTTTCCTTTCCGTCCGCTTGGCTTTCGTATCTCTGCCCAGTGGGACGCCCTGTCGCCTATGTGTAGGGCTGGAAGTTTGGCACCGGTATTTGGGATATACCGAATACCGTACCGAATTTGTATATATTTGGTATTACCGAATACACGTATTATTTCTTGGTATTGGGATTGAATTTCAATTGTTATTCGGTATTAGGGATTACGAGATTGGGATCGGGATATACCGAAATACCGATCAATACCGAAATATAAGCTAGTTGTATTTTATCCTCTCAACTAGACTCTCTCATTTACTACTACATGACCCTCAACCACCAAAAGTGTCATTTAATTATACACCGATCATTCCATCACTATTAATAGTCGTCTCTCAACCTCCAATTCGTCAAATTAAAGATTATCAATGACAAGAACTTGAGATGTCTCCTCTCCTCCATTCTCCTTAATAATATCATAATTCAAAACTCTTTGCTTAGTCTTTCCCCCCTAAATTAAACAATAAAATCTAATTTATATATTTAATTATTAATTGCAAAGATAATTAATTTCGTATTCGATAATACCGATTGGGATACCGAAGTACCGATTGGGATACCGAAATATTTAGGGATTGGGATATCGAAATAATTTAGGGATTGGGATTGGGATTGACTTTAGGGTGTAATTCGGTATTCGGGATTTCGGTATTTGGTATTGGGATACCGATACCGTAGCGATTTCCACCCCTACCTATGTGGGGAATGCCCCCCTTTCCTCGCTACAGGCACCTCGGTCTTTCGAGACGGGCCACCTATCTACCAATGATTTTTCGAACACGGGCGTCTGGATAACGTGCTCAATTTGTCAACTGCTGCTTTTATTCTTTCTTGTCACGGGCGCCTGGTTAGCGCGCTTCATCTATCAATTACTACTTTCCCCCTTTGTTCACTTAGGGCCCTGCCTTGTGTGCTCCCTCCCGACAACTACTGATTTTAACCCTTGTGTGAGAAATGCCCCCCCTTTCCTGCTTACAGGCGGCTCGGTTCGGGGGGGGGGGGGGGGGCACCTATCAACTAATGATTTTTCGGTCTAAGGTGTCAGGGTGGCGTGCTAATTTTGACGACTACTGAATTTATTCTCCTGACACAGGCCCCTGGTTAGCGCGGGCCCCTTGCCCCCTCTCTAGCGGTTTTTTGAAATTCAAATAACCGCCCGAGATCGTGACACATGGCGAATAGGTGCGGATCCCGAGGCGTGTCCCCTTCCCCTTCTATAAATACTTTTCTTGCCCTCATTTTGTCTCCTAGCTCTTCAAAACACGCCCTCTCTCTAACTTCTCTCTAGCCGTCGCCTTGCCTGCCGCTCGCAAATCCCTCCCGCTCGCATCTTCCTCAACATGTCTGCCTCACCGAACCAATATGCTGGCTCGGGCACTGCTCCTGAGCGAGGCGTCCCATCAAATCCTGGTAAGTGCCCCCTCCTACTTCGATTTTATCATTTTATTTCGCATCCTTGGTTGTTTCCTTTGAGGCATGGGTGCCGCTTACTTCGCGTTGCGGTTGTGCACCTGCTTCGCTTTTTGCTTTTAGAGAGGGCGCCTCCATCTGCCGGGACATCGACGACGTCCGCTCCCGGTTTCATGCCAGTGGATGGTTCGTACAAGGTCACTACGTGGGAAAAAAAATTTCCCCTAGATTACGTGCCGCTTGACACCTCCGAGATGCCGTTTAATGTGGACGGGCCAGACCACCAATCTACCATGACATCGGCGCAAGTGAGGGAGTCGGTTACATGTCTGCAACTGCGGCGTGACTAGTGGTATGCGTCGGCCCCCCGATTGCCATAGTCGGAGTGTGCGGTCCCAAATGGATAGGGGTTTACGAGGAGTATTTTTATTTCGGGTTACGGTTCCCAATCGACCCCATTTTGGAGGGGATTTTGGCTGTTTGCGGCTGCAGCTTGGGGCGCCTATCACCATTCGTTATTCTGGTGGTGATTTTGTTCAAGTTGAAGTGCAGGGTGCACAATGTGAGGCCCACGTTTAACTTGTTCAGATACTTTTATAACATGGTCAGTTGGTCACAACAAGAAAATTGCCCTTTAGTGTCGGTTATAACCGACAAAAAAAAATTGTGTCGGTTCACTTAACCGACACAAAAACAGTCGACACTCGACAATAACCCAATTCGTGTCAACCGCCGGAATAACCGACACAATTTTTTGAGTCGGTTATTTTGTGTCGGTTTAACCGACATTAAACATTTATTAAGAAAAATCAGTTTCGGAGTTAAATTAATTATTTATGTCGGTTGAACCGACTCAAAATAACCGTCACAAATTATAAAATAAAAAAAAAACTTCCCCCGGAAGCAGATTTGGCGAAGATCCCCTTCTTCCTCCGAAAACCCAGAAAACGAGGAAACCATTTCAATATTTTCTTCGTCGATCTCTGCGATCACCACCGCACACTTCCGCCCTCGCCGCTCGACTCTTCTTCTTCGTCCAGCCTCGTCAAGTCGCTGCCGTGGGTGAAGAACCGGCGGAAGCCAGAGGAACAGGGGAAGGCGAGTGGAACACCACCTACATATTCAGCCCCTTGTTTGCGAGCGCCGCGCCGATCCGCCTCGAAACCTTGCCCAGATCGCCGCAATCTCGAACTGGAGCACCAGAGAAAGCGGAGTCCCTCTTCCCCTATTTACTGAACAACCATCGTCGCCCTCACCAGAATTAGCTATGTTCCCTGCAGATCA